CCAAACCACACCCACTGCCCTGGAGTCCATTCTGACCCACAGCGCCCCTAGAGGACAGAGTGGAACTGCCCACAGGGTCTCCAAGGCTGTCACTCTTCACGGAAGCAGACTGCCTCATCGTTCTCCCGTGGAGTGTCTGGCGGGTTCGAATCCCCAGTCTTTCAGTTCGCAGCCCAGCGCTTTACCGCTGCGTCACCAGAGCACCTTACCTAACCGTGTACTGGGGCCATAGTTCCCTCACACTTGGCTTTCGTTCACGAGTTTCAAAGTCATGCAAATGCGTTGCAGAAAGCTCAGGGAAGGTACAAAGAAAATCTTTGTTTCCTGTGGCATGTCTCCTCCTAGCCTTTCTCACATAGTTTCTCCCATGAGAGCTGAGACCATCCACTGTAATAACAGCCCAGGTGTGCAAAGCGCTTCCCATGTGGTTTGTACATATTATCTCATCTAATCCTCTCAGCTGCCTTGGGCAGGAAATAGTACTGTTGTCCGCCTTTGACAGACGAAGAAACTGAGGCACAGAGAGGGGCAGATATCTTACCCAACATGGAAAGTGGTGGAGCCTGGGTCGCCGTCCGCAGGCTGACTTCAAGGCCAGGATCCCAACTACTGGGCTGTGTCTCTCTCATGCAACATACACAGCTGTGTGCCCTATTTGTTTGTGTCTTGTGTCTAGCTAGTTATCTCTCTCCTACTTTATCTGTCTGTCCATCCATCCATCTATACATACACATACACAGCTTTTCACTTCAAAGTGACTCAGTGGTCCTCATGAAAATTCCAACAGTACAGAAGTTAAAGTAAGGAGCCCCTGCTCTCTCCACCGCAGAGGAGGCCTGTCAGCACATAGTCACTCAGCCTGTCACTGTGGAAACGCCTACTGGACAGTGCCAGTCTGGAGTGGATACACACCTCAAGGGCGACACGTGAGGAACCGACACCCAGGCAGGGTCCAGAACGTGCAACTGACAGCCAGGCAGGGTCCAGGACATTTCCAGCCCCAGAAACTCCCATGATTCCTCTCCAGCAACACAGTTCCAGCGGAAACCACACTCTATTGTCCACCGCTCTGGACGTGCCTGCACTGGAACCTTCCATGAATGGAACCACACACCCAGCCTGTGTGCCTTGCTCTTTTGTTCTAGGTGCTGTCTGAGCAACACATCCATCTCGTCCCACATGGGTGTCCTGCTTCCTTTCTCACTGGTGTATAGTATTCCACGACACAGTACACCACAGTGGATTCACCCAGTCTACCATTGGTGGACATCGGGGTATTTCCAGTTGGGCCTATGAGGAGTAGGGCCACTACTAACATTCTCCCACAAGTCTCTGGTAGACATTTACCCTCATTTCTCCTCAGTTACCCGGGTTTCTGTTGGTTACACTCTCAGGAATGAACCTGCTGAGTCATGGTGTAAGCAAAGGTTTTGCTTTAGGAGCTATTGTCAAACGATTTTCCTAAGGAGTTGGACCAATTTACATGCCCCAGCAGTAGTGAGAATCCCAGCACTTTTTAAATACGATTTTTACACCTTTATTTGCTGATAGCCACCTTTGCCCTTAAGGAAAATGGCCCTGCACTGAAGAATTCACTCCATCATGAATTTCTTGTGACCTGTGTATCTGGCGGTTCAAAGTTGATGTTCTTAACTGACTTACTGATTGGTCCATAACTTAAGAGGGACATTTTATTATTTTAGATAAAACCGACAGACCAAGCGTGGCAGAGGAGCCTGCGTTAGGTCCAGTGACAGAGGAGAGTCTGAAGTCTACACTGATGGGCTGGGGTCACACTCACTGAGGGGCCTGTTGGCCCCCAGCCTAACCGTCCCTCCCTCCAACTGTTTCTCGTGCTACAGAAGATGCAAAGACGGGAAGCTCCTGCCTCCCGCAGAGTGGCCTTCCGGGCCATCTGTGGTGAGGTTCCGCCCCTTCAGGAAGCCTAGATTCTCCCCCTTCACCCCGAAGCCGGGGGCCATGAAACTGGGGAAGATGCAAAGGTCAGGCTGCCCCTAGTTCTCTGCAGATAGAGGCCCGTCCTGACCTGCTCGGACCACACTGTTTGAACTCAAGCTTATCTGCTACGTCATACGACCCAACTTTTCAAGGCCAAGCCAAGTAGACTGGACATTTATGTGTTCTTACATCAGATCATTGCCGGGCGCAGCCAAACCTCTGAAACCACCCGACATGGATGGAGAATGAAGCTCTCTCCCCAGCTACAGCACTCATGACAGCCCCAGTCACAGATGGGCACCTCACTTTCAGGAACAGCGTCATAGGCAATGTATATTCTTTAAAAGTTTGGGTTTTCCCAATATTGAAATTGGCAGTCTCTGGGGATAGCTTCAGGACCATCTCAAGCACTTTTAAATACACGCATTGGAAGGAATGTCGTTACCTTGATGGCCCTAAACCGTTCGATTTCATGACGTAAATTGTTGCAACAATTATTGCAATTGCAGTTGTTGCAGAAGTCACCACTGGCAAAGCAGTCACAGTACCTGTGAAGAGAAGAACAGCGTGTCAACAGTATGGAAGAACACAGACAGATGGTGCAACAGCGGCACACAGGAGAACGAAACGTGCAGGAAAAGCTGTCCGCACTGCGGCAGGCAACCTTGTACTCAGACGACTGTGACTCCTCTGTGACATGAGACCTCCTGGAGTGTCCCCCAGAGACTACCGTAGAAGACAGAGACACTAGCCAAGAGCCACTGCTTTCCTCACACAGGAAAAGTCAACCATTCCCGACCAGTGTCCACTGATGCCCATCACCTCTGCCCCTAGTGCCCATCCAGTTTTCTCAGGAGACCACAAGCTGGGGGTAGGAACCTCATGCCATGAAGCACCATTTTCCCATTGGCCATCCCCATCTGTGGACACAGGGGCAGGTGAGGCCACGTCTTGGCCAGGCCTTGTTGTGCATGACTGGTGATGATGGAGCCTGGAGGTGACATGGCCTGGCCTTTGCCATGGAGGAGAGAGAAATGAGTGGTGGCCAAAGCACACACATGAAATGAGGGCTGTTACATGGCCCTCATTACATGAGTGCATGATTAGTGAGGAGCTCTGATGGCGCCATGGTTAAGGCATTTAGCTACTCACCAAAAGGTCGGTGGTTCAAATCCACTAGTCTGCTTCCGCAACCTAATGGGGTCACTATGAGTCGGAATCAACTCAGTGGCAGTGAGTTTGGTTTCACATTATGATTACTATTTGTAACGTGAAGGGTGTTCATGAACTTGGATTCTAGAGAGTAGTGATGTTAGTGAATCCCTGAGGGAACACTGTGCTGATGTAAGGCATTGTGCTGGGAGAGCAGTGGTAGCCAGAAGGCCCTTCTCTGATGGTTTTCCTCAGAGAACTACCAGTGTCTGCAGCCTAAACTGCTTCAGGTGCTCTTATAAGACACCTGCCACAGTGCTGCACAGCAGGGGCTTTGTCAGCCATGGTTTAGATCGTTTCAGCATGGGCAGGGATACGACACTGTCCTTGATGCACACAAAAATTCCACCTCAAGGCAAGGACTCCTAATGGTCTACCTGGAAGCCTCATCCCCAGAGACTCCACAGCTTTAGACTCTGACCAGACAAGACCCGACGCAGAGGTGTCCGAGCCTCACAGAAAAATGACTGTAAATCAGGACCAGTTTCTCATCTCAGAGCATGATTCATTGGGAAGACCCCTACCCAGTGGGTGGATTAGCAGCAAATCTACACCTCAGAAGGGACTGCAGACACAGCCCTCTGTGGGCCAGAGCCTGGAGTGAGGGAAGATGAGGATTCTCCAGAGACTTCTTCACAGGACGGGGTGGAGCAGAGGACAGAGCAATGGAACAGCTGGGAGGACGGAAAAGAGAGGCGTGAGGGGAGACCAGCATGGCCACAGGCTTCAACAGGAAGAGGGGAGAAGAGAAAAGAGAGGC